GGTGGGCTGTATGCAGCAGGTGCCGTGCGCGACGCTTCTTACCTGGGGGCTGGAGGCTTCAAAGGGTTTCTAAGGGAAGGATACTGTAAGCCAGTGCAGTGGGAGCTGGCAGACGCGTGCTCTTCTCTTAGGATATTTATGGGAGGATGATTTGAGCTAGCACAGAAGTGAGAAAAGACTGACAGGGTGTCAGGTGACACCAGAGGGTTCTTCTCCCGCGGTTACCTGTGGGATCTCAGGCCTGAGGCCGACTTCCCACAGGAACTGGATACAAGGTGCTACAGCTCCTTTCTCAGGAGGAGAGGCTCCTGCTCCAAGCCTGCTATCCAGCGTACGCCCTTTCATGCAGGGCCGCCAACGCCTGGGTCTTGGGTTCTCGTCCTGGTCCGGCTGTTTTCCCATGTGCTGCTTCTGTTCTGGGACTGCTCTGGGCATTCCTCCTACTACAGACTACTATAAGGTTCTATGGAAGGATTCTATAAGCCGGGTGCGGTGGCTCACACCTGTAATCCAAGCACTTTGGAGGCCAAGGCGGGCGGATCACCTGAGGTCGGGAATTCAAGACCAGCCTGACCAACATGGTGAAACCCCGTCTTTAAAAATATAATAATAAGCCGGGCGCGGTGGCTCAAGCCTGTAATCCCAGCACTTTGGGAGGCCGAGGCGGGTGGATCACGAGGTCGAGAGATCGAGACCATCCTGGTCAACATGGTGAAACCCCATATCTACTAAAAATACAAAAAATCAGCTGGGCATGGTGGCACGTGCCTGTAATCCCAGCTACTCAGGAGGCTGAGGCCGGAGAATTGCCTCAACCCAGGAGGCGGAGGTTGCGGTGAGCCGAGATCGCGCCATTGCACTCCAGCCTGGGTAACAAGAGCGAAACTCCATCTCAAAAATATATATATATATAATAATAGGCCGGGTGCGGTGGCTCACGCCTGTAATCCCAGCACTTTGGGAGGCTGAGGCAAGTGGATCACAAGGTCAAGACATCAAGACCACCCTGGTCAACATGGTGAAACCCCGTCTCTACAAAAAATACAAAAAATTAGCTGGGCATGGTGGCACATGCCTGTAATCCCAGCTACTCGGGAGGCTGAGGCAGGAGAATTGCCTGAACCCAGGAGGCGGAGGTTGCGGTGAGCCGAGATCGCGCCGTTGCACTCCAGCCTGGGTAACGAGAGCGAAACTCCATCTCAAAAAAAAAAAAAAAAAGAGTTCACTGATTGGTTACGTAAACCAATCTCCTGAGGTCAGGAGTTCAAGACCAGCCTGGCCATCATGGCGAAACCCCATCTTTTTTTTTTTTTTTTGAGACAGAGTTTCACTCTTGTTACCCAGGCTAGAGTACAATGGCACGATCTCAGCTCACTGCAACCTCCGCCTCCTGGGTTCAAGCAATTCTCCTGCCTCAGCCTCCCGAGTAGCTGGGACCACAGGCGTGCACCACCACGCCAGGCTAATTTTTGTATTTTTAGTAGAGACGGGGTTTCACCTTGTTGACCAAGATGGTCTCGATCTCTTGACCTCGTGATCCACCTGCCTCGGCCTCCCAAAGTGCTGGGATTATAGGCGTGAGCCACCGTGCCCAGCAAAACCCCATCTTTAAAAAAAAAAAAAGTAAAAGAAAAAGGATTCTATAAATCAGCATTAAATGTGTCAGTACAGCTCCGACTACAATACCTCTATGATTATATAGAATATACATGTGATTATATAGACTACAATATTTATATGACTATGTAGAAAGATTATATGGAACTAGGTATGCTAGATAAAAGTACTAAGTACGAGCCGGGCGCGGTGGCTCAAGCCTGTAATCCCAGCACTTTGGGAGGCCGAGGCGGGTGGATCACGAGGTCGAGAGATCGAGACCATCCTGGTCAACAAGGTGAAACCCCGTCTCTACTAAAAATACAAAAAATTAGCTGGGCATGGTGATGTGTGCCTGTAATCCCAGCTACTCAGGAGGCTGAGGCAGGAGAATTGCTTGAACCCAGGAGGCGGAGGTTGCGGTGAGCCGAGATCGCACCATTGCACTCCAGCCTGGGTCACAAGAGTGAAACTCCGTCTCCAAAAAAAAAAAAAAAAAAAAAAAAAAGTACTAAGTATGATCATATAAGCTAGAGATATGTAAGCAGTCAGTTATACTTCAGGCCCTAATTCTGTAAACTAATATATGATTATATATAAAGGATTCTATAAAGGAAACAGCTGAGTACTAACGCTATAAACTAAGATACTCTTCAGGCGCTAACTGTGCCTGGGGTCTGGACAGTTCTCCTTCCTCGGTGCCCATGGGGGCGTCACCCACACCACCTGGCCCAGCGGGACAAGGTCCAAGGCGTTCCTTTGCCCATCCTCACTTTACGGCAACAAGGCCCGGTCAAGGGTGTTGTCTCAGACAGGACAGGGTGTCCAGCTGGGCAGGGCAGGGTGGAGAACCAGGATGTGGGAGCCAGGAGGCTGGAGTTACTATCACTCCCTCACCTCTCTGGGCCTCAGTTTCTCCATTTGACATCCCTCAGCCAGGGGCCATCTGTAATTCTCAGATGGAAAAGTCCCTTACCAGGATTCTCAGAGCGAGTTCAGGGTTGAAAGGGTCTGTGCCCAGGAGACACAGGGAAATATGTCGGGGGCCCAGGGAGGTTTCAAAGACCAAGGCTGAGGCTGGGCAAGGTGGCTCACGTCTGTAATCCCAGCACTTTGGGAGGCTGAGGTGGGAGGATCACCTGAGATCAAGAGTTCTAGACCAGCCTGGCCAATATGGTGAAATCCTGTCTCTAGTAAAAATACAAAAATTACCTGGGCATGGTGGCGCACGCCTGTAGTCTCAGCTACTCAGGAGGCCAAGGCAGGAGAATCGCTTGAACCTGGGAGGCAAAGGTTAGGGTGAGCCGAGATGGCACCACTGCACTCCAGCCTGGGTGACAGATCAAGACTCTGTCTCAAAAAAATAAAAAAATAAATAAAAATAAAAATCGACCGGGCATGGTGGCTCAAACCTGTAATCCCAGCACTTTGGGAGACTGAGGCAGGTGGATCACCTCAGGTCGGGAGTTCAAGGCCAGCCTGGCCAACATGGTGAAATCTCATCTCTACTAAAAGCACAAGATTAGCTGGGCGTGGTGGCAGGTGCCTGTAATCCTAGCTACTCGGGAGGCTGAGGCAGGAGAATCACTTGAACCCCAGAGGCAGAGGCTGCAGTGAGCTGAGAGGGCACCATTGCACTCCAGCCTGGACAACAAGAGTGAAACTCTGTCTCAATAAGTAAATAAATAAATAAAAGCCCAGGCTGAGCTGGACATAGAGCTGGGTTCCACACGGCAGGGGTGGGAGTCTGGGAGATAAGGTGGGCAGAGCACTCTGATTTTATTGGGCTGCAAATGTTAGATACATGTAACACAAGTTGTTGCGGTAATAACAGGGGCATTCAGAGATTCAGGTACGGTTGGATCAAGGAGCTTAGAAGTTTTCAGGATGCTTTGCTGGTGCTGGGGTTGCTCTCAAGCAACCTTCACCCACTGGGGTACTTATGGTACCCAGCAATTCACTGTCTCACCCCATCAGCCTAAAAAGACCAGGTAAACAAGGGTCTAATCTTCTGCATTAACTGTGAAGCACGGCGGGCGTGGTGGCTCACGCCTGTAATCAAGCACTTTGGAGGCCAAGACAGGTCGACCACCTGAGGTCAGGAGTTCAAGACCAGCCTGACCAACATGGTGAAACCCCATCTTTAAAAAAATACCTGTGAGCTTGCTTTGGCTGGGCGCAGTGGGTCAAGCCTGTAATCCCAGCACTTTGGGAGGACAAGGCGGGCGGATCACGAGGTCAAGAGATCGAGACCATCCTGGTCAATATGGTGAAACCCCGTCTCTACTAAAAAATACAAAAAATTAGCTGGGCATGGTGGCGCATGCCTGTAATCCCAGCTACTCAGGAGGCTGAGGCAGAAGAATTGCCTGAAACCAGGAGGCGGAGTTTGCGGTGACCTGAGATCGCGCCATTGCACTCCAGCCTGAGTAACAAGAGCGAAACTCCGTCACAAAAAAAAAAAGGCCGGGCGTGGTGGCTCAAGCCTGTAATCCCAGCACTTTGGGAGGCCAAGGTGGGTGGATCACAAGGTCGAGAGATCGAGACCAACCTGGTCAACATGGTGAAACCCCATCTCTACTAAAAATACAAAAAAATTAGCTGGGCATGGTGGTGCATGCCTATAATCCCAGCTTCTTTGGAGGCTGAGGCAGGAGAATTGCCTGAACCCAGGAGGCGGAGGTTGCGGTGACCTGAGATCGCGCCATTGCACTCCAGCCTGGGTAACAAGAGCGAAACTCCGTCTCAAAAAAAAAAAAAAAAAAAAAGAAAAGAAAATTGTAAAGTCCCAGGGTCTCATGTCATTGGCTAGACTCGGTCACATGCTCATCTCTGAACCAATTCCAGAGGCCAGAGGGTGGGATGCTCTGATTGGTTAGGATGAATCACTTACCCATCCGTGAACCAATCACAGACGCCAGAGAATGGGCTGCTCTGACTGGCCAGGCTGGGTCACTTACCCATCCGTGAACCAATCACAGAGGTCAAAAGGTGGGATGTGCTGATTGGCTGGGTTACTCACCCATTCAATCACAGAGACTGGAGAATGGGCTGCTCTGACTGACGCACCCCTAAACCAATCACAGAGGTTAGCGAATGGGACGCTCTGATTGGCTGGGCTGGGTAACTTACCCATCCCTAAACCAATCACAAAGGCCATTTGGCTGACACTTTGGGAGGCTGAGGAGGGAGGCTCACCTGAGGTCAGGAGTTTGAGACCAGCCTGGCCAACATGGTGAAACCCCATCTTTACTAAAAATACAAAAATTATCTGGGCATGGTGGCACACGTCTGTAGTCCCAGCTACTCAGGAGGCCAAGGCAGGAGAATCGCTTCAACCGGAAGCTGTTCCCTCTCCTTAGGTGCTCTGACCTGACGGCCATCATTTCCTTCTCCTCCCTCAGTGAACCCGGAGTTCCCCAGCACACGCAAGGAAGGTCAAGGCCAAGACCCCAGAGGAGATGGACCGTGTGACCAGATACCCCATCCTGGGCATCCCGCAGGCAAACCGCGCCACTGGCCTGGTGCTGGATGGAGACACCAGCTACAACCACCTGGTATGCTCCGGCCCCGAGGCCAGCGGCTGGGGCCAGGACGAGCCGCAGGCCTGGCCTACCCACCACAAGGCCCAGCCGGGCGTGGCGAGGCAGGTGCTCTACAGCACGCATGCCCACCCTGGCTGGCCGTCCCCACGGGGGCTCCACCCGGAGAACGGGGAGGATGAGGATGCGAAGGTTTACCGCCTGGGCACCAGGGAGGCCCACCAGGGACGCCACCTGGAGGACAGGGAGGACGAGGAGATGAAGGCTTTCCACCCGGTCGCCAGGGGTGCCATCCCCAGGAGGCCATGGGACCTGGAGCAGGAGCGCCGGGCTGTCATCCAGGGCCAGGCAGTCAGGAAGAGCGGCACCGTGGCCACGCTCCGGGGCACCCCTGACCACGGAGACCCCAGGATCCCCGGCTCACCTCGGTCCACGCCCTTGGAGGACAACGTGGTGGACACAGAGCAGATTGACTTCCTGGCAGCAAGACAGCAGTTCCTGAGTCTAGAGCAGGCGAACAAGGAGGTCCCTCATAGCTCCCCAGCCAGGGGGGCCCCCGCAGGTACAGCCCCAGGGGTCAACCAGCCCCACCTGGCCAACGGGCATGTAGTCCCCATCAAGCCCCAGGTGAAGGGGGTGGTCTGGGAACAGAAGAGGGTGCAAGCTGTGCCCACCTGGGCCAGCGTCACCATTGTGAATGACCCTGACTCCCCGGCCCCGGCGGAGTCCCCGGAGACCCCCAGGGAGACACCCATCGAGAGGGAGATCCGACTGGCTCAGGAGCGTGAGGCGGACCTGAGAAAGCAGAGGGGCCTCCGGCGGGCGGCCGACCACCAGGAACTGGTGGAAATCCCCACCCGGCCGCTGCTGACCAAGGCCAGCCTGACCACAGCCCCGCGGCGGGACAGAGGCCAGCCGTCCCTGTACGTGCAGTGGGACATGGTTCAGGAGACCCAGCGCCAGGAAGACCACCGGCGGGAGGGCCTGCAGCTGGGCCGGGCGTCCACGCCCGACTGGGACTCAGAGGATGCCCAGCCTGGCCTCCGGAGAGCGCTCAGCTCGGACTCCGTCCTCGGCCCGGCCCCAGACGCCCGCGCGGCTGACCCAGCTCCAGAAGTGAGGAGGGTGAACCGCATCCTGCCCGATGCCTACCAGCCGTACCTGAGCCCTGGGACCCCCGGGTTAGAATTCTCAGCCTCTGGTGCATCCGGCAAGCCCGGCGGTCTCTCCACCGTTGAGGCCAAGGCGACGATGACACCAAAGGTCACGATGTCCCCGAGGCACCTCTCAGAATCCTCTGGAAGACCCCTGAGCACAAAGCAAGAGCACCTGAAGTCCCCTCGGGGACCTCTGCGAGCAGCCGGGGGTGTCGTGAAGTGGGAGTACTTCCGTCTGCGTCCTCTGAGGTTCAGGGCCCCAGACATGCCCCAGCAGGCCCAAGTGCCCCCTGTCCGGGGCTGGGAGGTGGCCGGGGCCCCGGCGCTGAGGCTTCAGAGGTCCCAGTCGTCCGATCTGCTGGAGAGGGAGGTGGAGAGCGTCCTGCGCCGGGAGCGAGAGGTGGCAGAGGAGCGGAGGAATGCCCTCTTCCCAGATGAGAGCTGTGACCAGGACTCCAGGAGTTCCTCCCAGGCATCCGGTGAGAAGGGGCTGCAGGGAGTGGCTGCTCGGCTCAGGGTCTCAGAGGCTGGAGCAGGGGAGGGTGGGGAGGGGGAGTTGGAGGACATCGGGAAGGGGTGGGCTGGGGAGACATCTCCTGTCTGTGTTCCTCCCCCTCAGTCTGGGGTTTGTCGGCCTGTCTACGAAAAACGTAGATTTTGGAGAGAAGTGACAACTTTGCCTTAGGACTTTTGCTTTATGGATTTGGATGCCTTGTTAGGTGCATAATTTTTTTCTGAGACAGCTTCGCTCTGTCCCCCAGGCTGGAGTGCAATGGCGCCATCTCGGCTCTCTGCAACCTCCGCCTCCCGGGTGCAAGCGATTATCCTGCCTCAGCCTCCTGGGTAGCTGGGATCACAGGTGTGCACTACCACGCCCGGCTAATTTTTGTATTTTTAGTAGACACGGGGCTTCATCCTGTTGGCCAGGCCGGTCTCAAATTTCTGATCCACCCGCCTCTGCCCCTCAAAGTGCTGGGATTACAGGCGTGAGCCACGGTGCCCGGCCTGTTGGTGAATGTTGATCCACTTGGACGATTGCACCTTTTTGTCAATATGAAATAGTTCAGCCGGGCGTGGTGGCTCACGCCTGTAATCCAAGGCGGGCGGATCACCTGAGCTCGGGAGTTCAAGACCAGCCTGACCAACATGGTGAAACCCCGTCTTAAGAAAAAAAAAAAAGCCGGGCGCGGTGGCTCAAGCCTGTAATCCCAGCACTTTGGGAGGCCGAGGTGGGTGGATCACGAGGTCGAGAGATCGAGACCATCCTGGTCAACGTGGTGAAACCCCGTCTCTACTAAAAATACAAAAAATTAGCTGGGCATGGTGGTGCGTGCCTGTAGTCCCAGCTACTCAGGAGGCTGAGGCAGGAGAATTGCTTGAACCCAGGAGGCGGAGGTTGCGGTGAGCCGAGATCGTGCCATTGCACTCCAGCCTGGGCAACAAGAGCGAAACTCTGTCTCAAAAAAAAAAAAAAAAAAAAAAAAAAAAAGAAATATTTCTTGTGTCGCTTTTAATGTTTTCCACCTTGCGCATGGCCCATCTGTCCATCCGGTTCTCCTGACCGGCGACTTTGGTCCATCTGCTCCGTCAGTCCACACAGCTGTCTCCCTAACTGCTCTAGGCTGTTGGTTAGAGACCCCGTCTCCTGGCCGGGCGCGGTGGCTCACGCCTGTAATCCAAGCACTTTGGAGGCCAAGGCGGGCGGATCACCTAAGGTTGGGAGTTCAAGACCAGCCTGACCAACATGATGAAATCCCATCTTAAAAAAATAAAATAAAATAAAAAAAGAGACCCCGTCTCCCGAGCTGAGGTCTGACCAACGTTCTCATGTTCTGCCCTCCCTGCTCCCCACCCAGGCATCACGGGCAGTTACTCAGTGTCTGAGTCTCCGCTGTTCACTCCCATCCACCTGCACTCCACTCTGGCGTGGACGGCAGAAGATGCAGGGGACAGCGCTCCTCCCGGGCAGAGAAGGAAGGAGCAGTGGGTAAGTCTGGAGCTGTGGCCGCAGAGACCAGGCTAAGGTGTCACATAGCTCCCTTAGGGCCCCGGGAGGTTGGAGTAGGACCCAAGCCTGACCTGGGCTCAAGCACCGTCTCCATCACTGCCCACTGCTGGCTGTGCCTCAGTCTCCCAAAGATGTCAGGTAAAGGATGATAAGCTAGTGTCCTCCTGTCTGGGCACTTCTGCTCGGAGAGGCCTCAGAAGCTGGGGTCTTTGTCCTGATCGGGAGGTCATCTCCACGATCAAAGACTAAAGGACCGGCCGGGCACGGTGGCTCACGCCTGTCATCCCAGCACTTTGGAGGCCAAGGCGGGCGGATCACCTGAAGTCGGGAGTTCAAGACCAGCCTGACCAACATGGTGAAACCCCGTCTTTAAAAAAACAAAACTAAAGGACCAATTCTGCTTGGAGGAAGAGGATAGTGGCAATTTATCATTATTTTTGCCAGCATTCTTTTATTATTTTTATTTTATTTGAGACAGAGTCTCATTCTGTCGCCCAGGCTGGAGTGCAATGGCGCATTCTCGGCTCACCACAACCTCCGCCTCCAGGGTTCAAGTGATTCTCCCGCCTCAGCCTCCCAAGTAGCTGGGATTACAGCTGCACACCACCACTCCTGGCTAATTTTTGTATTTTTAAGTAGAGACAGGGTTTCACCATGTTGGACAGACTGGTCTTGAACCCCTGACCTCATGATCCGCCTGCCTCAGCCTCCGAAAGTGCTGGGATTACAGGCATGAGCCACTGTGCCCAGTTTATTTTATTTATTTATTCTTTAAATTTTATTTTATTATTTTTTTTTTTTGAGACGGAGTTTCGCTCTTGTTACCCAGGCTGGAGTGCAATGGTGCGATCACGGCTCACCGCAACCTCCGCCTCCTGGGTTTAGGCAATTCTCCTGCCTCAGTCTCCTGAGTAGCTGGGATTACAGGCACACGCCACCATGCCCAGCTAATTTTTTATATTTTTAGTAGAGACGGGGTTTCACCATGTTGACCAGGATGGTCTCGATCTCTTGACCTCGTGATCCACCCGCCTTGGCCTCCCAAAGTGCTGGGATTACAGGCGTGAGCCACCAAGCCCAGCTATTTTTTGTTATTTATTTATTTATTTTTTTGAGATGGAGTCTCACTCTGTCACCCAGGCTAGAGTGCAATGGTGTGATCTCAGCTCACCACAACCTCCGCCTCCTGGGTTCAAGTGATTATCCTGCTTCAGCCTCCCCAGTAGCTGGGATTACAGGTGCCCACCACCACACCTGGCTCATTTTTTTTTGAAACAGAGTCTCGCTGTGTTGCCAGGGTAGAGTGCAACGGCACCACCTCACTGCAACCTCCAACTTTCTGGTTCAAGCGGTTCTCCTGCCTCAGCCTCCCCAGTAACTGGGATTACAGGCACATGCCACCACACCCAGCTAATTTTTGTATTTTTAGTAGACGGGGTTTTACCATGTTGGTCAGGCCAGGCTGGTCTTGAACTCCTGACCTCAAAATCCACCCACCTCAGCCTCCCAAAGTGCTGAGATTACAGGAGTGAGCCACCATGCCCAGCCATTCTTTCTTTTTTTTTTTTCCAGATAGAGTCTCGCTCTGTCACACAGGCTAGAGTGCAGTGGCACAATCTCAGCTCACTGCAACCTCTGCCCCTGGGTTCAAGTGATTCTCCTGCCTCAACCTCCCAAGTAGCTGGGATTACAGGTGCCTGCCACCATGCCTGGCTCATTATTTTTTTTGTATTTTTAGTAGAGACAGGATTTTACCGTGTTGGCCAGGTTGGTCTCGAACTCCTGACTTCAGGTGATCCACCCACCTCGGCCTCCCAAAGTGCTGGGATTACAGGCATGAGCCGCCACAACTGGCCGGAATATTATGTGTTAATGGTCATTGAGGGGGTTACTCTCTTCCTGGGGTAGGACGTCAGGGATACTGCTGAGACGAACAGAAACCGCAGCCTCACTCTCCCGATGCTCAGAGCATGACCCCGTGGTTCAGGGCACAGCCTGGAGCCCACTGGCCCAGTTCCTGCCTTGACCCTGCCACTTGCTGGCCGTGGGACCTAGGGCAAGCTGCAGTCCCCCTCTGGTCCTGGGTCTCCTCCTCTGTAAAATGAGACCCCCCTGAGCCTCCACAGTGGGATGAAATGGGATCACGTGTGTCAAGCGCCGGTGGCAAGGCCTGGCCACCGTGAACGCACCACCCATGCTGCCTGTGTGGGTTAGGACAAACTGAAATAAAGTCATTGTGAGCCTGTAATCCCAGCACTTTGGGAGGCCGAAGCGGGCAGATCATTTGAAGTCAGGAGTTTGAGACCACCCTGGCCAACGTGTTGATACCCTGTCTCTACTAAAAATACAAAAATTAGCCGGGCATGGTGGTGCGTGCCTGTAATCCCAGCTACTCAAGAGGCTGAGGGAGGAGAATTGCCTGAACCCAGGAGGCAGAGGTTGCGGTGAGCCGAGATCGCGCCATTGCACTCCAGCCTGGGTAACAAGAGCAAAACTCCGTCTCAAAATAATAATAACAAATAATAAAATTCAAAAATCATGAATGTTGGCCGGGCGTAGTGGCTCACACCTGTAATCCAAGCACTTTGGAGGCCAAGATGGGTGGATCACCTGAGGTCAGGAGTTCAAGACCAGCCTGACCAACATGGTGAAACACCTTCTTTAAAAAATAAAAATAAAAATAAGAAATCATGGCCGGGCGCGATGGCTCAAGCCTGTAATCCCAGCACTTTGGGAGGCTGAGGCGGGTGGATCACGAGGTCAAGAGATCGAGACCATCCTGGTCAACATGGTGAAACCCCGTCTCTACTAAAAATACAAAACATTAGCTGGGCATGGTGTTGCGTGCCTGTAATCCCAGCTACTCAGGAGGCTGAGGCAGGAGAATTGCCTGAACCCAGGAGGCGGAGGTTGCGGTGAGCTGAGATCGTGCCATTGCACTCCAGCCTGGGTACAAGAGCGAAACTCCATCTCAAAAAAAAAAAAAAAAAAAAAAAGAAAGAAATCATGAATGTTGGACAGAGGCTGCCCTAGGGGAAACCGCATGAGGAAGAGGAAAGTGGATGGCTGGAGTCAGGGTGATCATGGGAAACGTGCTGGGAACACTGAGGGCAGGGGCTGCCTTCCATTCTTCCCCGGGAGCTATGGATGGACCCTGCCCCAGGCAGGGCAGAAAGGCTGAGGCTGACTTGTGTTCCTTCGCTGCAGTATGGTGGCATCAACCCCTCGGACCGTGTCAACTCAGAGGTGAGTATGCTCCTGGCATACAGACTCAAATCTCGGCCGGGCGCGGTGGCTCACGCCTGTCATCCCAGCACTTTGGGAGGCCAAGGTGGGTGGATCACCTGAGCTCAGGAGTTCAAGACCAGCCTGGCCATCATGGTGAAACCCCACCTTTAAAAAATAAATAAATAAGGCCGGGCGCGGTGGCTCAAGCCTGTAATCCCAGCACTTTGGGAGGCCGAGGCGGGTGGATCACGAGGTCGAGAGATCGAGACCATCCTGGTCAACAAGGTGAAACCCCGTCTCTACTAAAAATACAAAAAGTTAGCTGGGCATGGTGGTGCGTGCCTGTAATCCCAGCTACTTAGGAGGCTGAGGCAGGAGAATTGATTGAGCCCAGGAGGCGGAGGTTGCGGTGAGCCGAGATCGCGCCATTGCACTCCAGCCTGGTTAACAAGAGCGAAACTCCGTCTCAAAAATAAATAAATAAATAAATAAATAAATAAATAATAAAAAAGACTCAAATCTCTCCAACATCTGTGCCCCTGCAACAGAGGCCAATGGAAGCCCCTTCCTCCAGGTGTGGGGATCATATTGGTGTCTTCTCAGTTGCTAGTGTCTGCCCGAGGTGGATTTTGCTGTGATCTGCTTGTGATGTCTGCCATGGGCATGGGTTAGAAGAGGTCCATGGGCTACCTCTCCACCAGGTGATGAAGGTTTGTGAGGTTAGACCTCAAACAAAAACTGTTTTTGGTTTTTGGTTTTTTTTTCTGTTTTTTTTTTTTTGGTCTGGAGTTGAGAGTCTCACTCTGTCACGCTGGCTGGAGTGCAGTGCCATCACCTCAGCTCACTGCAACCTCTGCCCCTCAGGTTCAAGCGAGTCTCCTACCTCAGCCTCCCAAGCAGCTGGGATTACAGGTGCCCACCACCATGCCCAGCTAAATTTTTTTTTTTTTTTTTTTTTTTTTTTTTTTTTTGAGACGGAGTTTCGCTCTCGTTACCCAGGCTGGAGTGCAATGGCACGATCTCGGCTCACCGCAACCTCCACCTCCTGGGTTCAGGCAATTCTCCTGCCTCAGCCTCCTGAGTAGCTGGGATTACAGGCGCGTGCCACCATGCCCAGCTAATTTTTTTGTATTTTTAGTAGAGACGGGGTTTCACCATGTTGACCAGGATGGTCTCGATCTCTCGACCTCATGATCCACCCGCCTCGGCCTCCCAAAGTGCTGGGATTACAGGCGTGAGCCACCGCGCCCGGCTAAATTTTGTATTTTTACTGGAGACAGGGATTCGCCATGTTGGCCAGGCTGGTCTTGAACTCCTGACCTCAGGTGATCCACCCACCTCGGCCTCCCAAAGTGCTGGGATGACAGGCGTGAGCCTTTCTTTGAGGGTGGGAAGCATCTGAGAGTACATAAGACCAGCCCACTCAGTTGGTTTATTGTACATGTATATGGCCGAGGGGATCCCAGCTCACTGCAGCCTTAATCTCCTGGGCTGGAGCAATCCTCCCCCTTCAGGAACACTGATGTGAGCCACCACACCCACATCATTCGCTTTTTTTTTGTTTCTTGTTTTTTGTTTTTTGAGACGGAGTTTCGCTCTCGTTACCCAGGCTGGAGTGCAATGGCGCGATCTCGGCTCACCGCAACCCCCGCCTCCCGGGTTCAGGCAATTCTCCTGCCTCAGCCTCCTGAGTAGCTGGGATTACAGGCATGCGCCACCACGCCCAGCTAATTTTTTGTATTTTTAGTAGAGACGGGGTTTCACCATGTTGACCAGGATGGTCTCGATCTCTTGACCTTGTGATCCACCCGCCTCGGCCTCCCAAAGTGTTGGGATCACAGGCGTGAGCCACCGTGCACTGTTTTTGTTTTTTTGAGACAGAGTTTTGCTCTTGTTGCCCAGGCTGGAGTGTAATGGTGCGATTTGGGCTCACTGCAACCTCTACCTCCCAGGTTGAGATGATTCTCCTGCCTCAGCCTCCTGAGTAGCTGGGATTACAGGCACGCGCCACCATGCTTGGCTGATTTTTGTATTTTTAGTAGAGACGGGGTTTCACCATGTTGACCAGGATGGTCTCGATCTCTTGACCTCGTGATCCACCCGCCTCGGCCTCCCAAAGTGCTGGGATTACAGGCTTGAGCCACCGCGCCCGGCCCCAATCATTTGCTTTTAATCTTTTTGTAGAGACAGGGTCTCACTAGGTTGCCAAGGCTGATCTTGAATTTCTGCATTCAAGGGATCCTCCCACCTCAGCCCACCAAGTTGCTGGGATTATAGACATGAGCCACCATGTCTGACCCCTCTTTGAGCTTCATTCAAAATGCCAAATACCGACATTTTTCCTGTCCTAGAGCTCAGCATAGTTAGCATATTCTGTGGTCATATTACTAGGAGTAGAGGCTCTGAAACAGAGGAGGGGATGGTCCTACTTTACCCCTGTTCTAGGCCTAATGAATTGGTAGTTGGAGGACACGTCTTGGGGGTGTGGTTAGGACCCGACTGGGTGACTTCATGCCTCCTTTTTGCAGGTCCTGGAAGCCATACGGGTGACCCGTCACAAGAACGCCATGGCAGAGCGCTGGGAATCCGGCATCTACGCCAGTGAGGATGACGACTAAGCCTCGGGATGGGGCGCCCACCCTCTGCCCAGCCCTGACCCTCATGAGACCTGCCAAGACCGTAGCCAAACCCCACCCTAGGAAATGGGTCCGAGATCCAGGATCTGCCAATGCTCCCACCACGAACGCATCTGGGACCGGAGGGTTTTCCTTTTCCATTTTTATCTTCCTTTAGAAATACACCTACATGGCCAGGCGCGGTGGCTCACGCCTGTAATCCCAGCACTTTGGGAGGCCGAGGCGGGTGGATCACGAGGTCAAGAAATCGAGACCATCCTGGTCAACATGGTGAAACCCCGTCTCTACTAAAAATACAAAAAATTAGCTGGGCATGGTGGTGCGTGCTTGTAATCTCAGCTACTCAGGAGGCTGAGGCAGGAGAATTGCCTGAACCCAGGAGGCGGAGGTTGCGGTGAGCTGAGATCGCGCCATTGCACTCCAGCCTGGGTGACAAGAGCGAAACTCCGTCTCAAAAAAAAAAAAAAGGCCAGGCGCGATGGCTCAAGCCTGTAATCCCAGCACTTTGGGAGGCCGAGGCGGGTGGATCACGAGGTCGAGAGATCGAGACCATCCTGGTCAACATGGTGAAACCCCGTCTCTACTAAAAATACAAAAAAAACATTAGCTGGGCATGGTGGCACGTGCCTGTAATCCCAGCTACTCAGGAGGCTGAGGCAGGAGAATTGCCTGAACACAGGAGGCGGAGGTTGCGGTGAGCCGAGATCGCGCCATTGCACTCCAGCCTGGGTAACAAGAGCGAAACTGCGTCTCAAAAAAAAAAAAAAAAAAAAAAAAGATTTAATTTCTGTAATGAGTCATCCCCTTGGAAAATCAGACTGAGTTCTGCCTGCTGAGCAGACACATTCCTGAAGGTATTCCGTGAGAGGTTTACATGAATTCCTAGTGAAATTCCCAGGGGCAGGAGAGTGTGCCTGGGAGCTGCCAGCCTGGCCATCATGGTGAAACCCCATCTTAAAAATAAATAAAATTTTAAAAAAGAAATGAAGTCCCACTCTGTCGCCCAAGCTGCAGTGCAGAGGCTTGATCTCTGTCACTGCAACCTCCTCCTCTCTAGTTCAAGTGATTCTCCTGCCTCAGCTTCCAGAGTAGCTGGGATTACTGGCACCTGCCACCATGCCTGGTCTCAAATCCATTTTAATTAACCCTGCAGGGGCCAAGCATGGTGGCTCACACCTGCAATCCCATCTTTTTGGAAGCCCAGGCAGTATGTAGATCACCTGAGGTCAGGAGTTCTAGACCAGCCTGACCATCATAATGAAAGCCCAACTCCAGTAAATACAAAACATTAGCTGGGTGTGGTGGCTGGCATCTGTAATCTCTGCTACTTGGGAGGCTAAGGAAGGAGAATTGCTTGAACCTGGGAGGTGGGGATTGCAGTGAGCCGAGATGACGCCATTACACTCCAGCCAGGGCAACAAGAGACTCCATGTGAAAAAGTAAAAAACAGCCAGGTGCGGTGACTCACGCCTATAATCCCAGCACTTTAGGAGGCCAAGGCGGGCGGATCACGAAGTCAGGAGTTCAAAACCAGCTTGGCCAACAGGGTGAAACCCCGTTTCTACTAATACAAAATTAGCCAGGCAATGGTGGTACAAACCTGTAGTCCCAGCTACTCAGGCTGAGGCAGGAGAATCGCTTGAACCTGGAAGGTGGAGGTTGCAGTGAGCTGAGATTGCGCCAGTGCACTCCAGCCTGGGTGACAGAGCGAGACTCTGTCTCAAAAAAATAAATAATTTTAAAAATGAAAAGGCCGGGTGCAATGGCTTATGCCTGTAATCCCAGCACGTTGGGAGGTGGAGGCGGGCGGATCAACTCAGGTCGGCCTGACCAAAATGGAGGAAACCCCATCCCTTCTAAAAATACAAGATTAGCTGGGCGTTTTGGGGGGCTCCTGTAATCCCAGCTACTCGGAACGGAAGGCTGAGGCAGGAGAATCGCTTGAACCAGGGAGCTGGAGGTTGTAGTGAGCTCAGATTGTACCACTGCACTCCGGCCTGGCAACACAGCGAGACTCCGTCACACACACAAAAAATGAAATAAGGCCGGGCATGGTGGCTTGTGCCTGTAATCCAAGCACTTCGGAGGCCAAGGCGGTTGGATCACCTGAGGCCAGGAGTTCAAGACCAGCCTGGCCATCATGGTGAAACCCTGTCTTTAAAAAAAATAAAAAATAAAGGCCAGGCACGGTGGCTCAAGCCTGTAATCCCAGCACTTTGGGAGGCCGAGGTGGGTGGATCAAGAGATCGAGACCATCCTGGTCAACATGGTGAAACCCCGTCTCTACTAAAAATACAAAAAAAAAATTAGCTGGGTATGGTGGCGCGTGCCTATAGTCCCAGCTACTCAGGAGGCTGAGGCAGCAGAATTGCCTGAGCCCAGGAGGCAGAGGTTGCAGTGAGCCGAGATCGCGCCATTGCACTCCAGCCTGGGTAACAAGAGCGAAACTCCATCTCAAAAAATAAATAAATAAATAAAAATTAAAAATAATTTAAAAGAAAAAGAAAATAAATAAATAGAATCTAAGGACACAAAAAATTATATTTACAAAGGTATATGCCACAACTGAGAAAAAAAAATGCAGCCGGGCATGGTGGCAGCTGCCCAGTCCCAGCTACTTCAGAGGCTGAAACGAGACTCACTTGAACCCGGGAAGTGGAGGTTGCAGCGAGCTGAGCTGGCACTACTACGCTCTGGCCTGGGCAACACAGCAAGACTCTGTCTCAAAAAACAGAGACTTGGGAGAGAACACAAAACCACATCGTGTCCCCAGAGCAAATGAGACTCAAGCTGACTTCGGCCAAACTGGCCGTTAGGGGTTCCCGTAAGCGAAACATCCGTGTGGGGCCAGCTTCAGGTCCAGCGGCTTCCAGGCCTCACAGAGCACCCTCGGGTCCCTTCCGTGTTGGGAGCTCCAAGCTCCACGCCCAGGACGGGGTCCCAGATCTGCCACCCGTCCCCGAGGGATCCCGGCTAAGGCCTACCCCGCTCCCAGCCTCAGTTCCCTTACCTGGAAGTCAAGTCACCACATGGACACCGTCGCCGTGGGGGCCGTCGTGAGGATCCAGGCACCCGGTGAAGATCACTGCAGAATGAGAATCAGTGTTGATTCTGGTTGTTGCTGACCAAGTAAATGAACAAACCCTCACCGGACAGTCAGGGACTTGGATGTGACGTCCTGGTGTGAGCTGAAGGGGAGCCAAGGCACGCTGCCACCAGAGGGCAGCAAACACCGGAGACGCAGCCACAGCCCTCACTGCCCCCCCACCCCACCCCCACCCCCGCCCCCACCATCCCCACCACCCCAACCCCCAACCCCCATCCCCTCACCCGTCACCACCACCCCCACACTTCCTCCATCACCCCCACTCCCCCACACTCCCCCACCCCCCACACACTCCCTATCCCCCTACACTCCCCCACCCCACACACTCCCCCACCCCACACACACTCCGACACCCCCTACACTCCCCCACCCCCTACACTCCCCCACCCCCTACACTCCCCTACACTCCCCCACCCCACACCCCCCTACACTGCCCCACCACACACACTCCCCACCCCACACACTCCCCCACCCCCCCACTCCCCCACACCCCCACACTCCCCCACCCAGGGAGATAACTCACCTTTGGGGCTTCAAGTTCTCACTCTTGTAACGGGATGGAGTTTGCTCAGAGCTCCCAGAAGCCGGGACAGAGCGGGGAGCCATGGCTCATGCCTGTAATCCCAGCACTTAGGGAGGCCCAGGTGGGCGGATCACTTGAGCACAGGAGTTCGAGATCAACATGGTGAAACCCGGTCTCTAAAAAGATACAAAAATCAGCCGGGTGTGATGGCAGGCACCCGAACCCCTGCTGCTCCTGAGGCTGAGGCAGGAGAATCACTCGAACCTGGGAGGGGGAGGTTACACGAGCTGAGATCGCACCCCTGCACCCCAGCCTGGGCGACAGAGCAAGACCCCATCTCAAAAAAAATTATTTGTAGAGATGGCGGGGGCGGGGGGGGTGGTCTCACCATGTTGCCCAGGCTGGGGTTGAATTCCTTGCCTGCTTGGCCTCCCAAAGTGCTGGAATTGCAGGCGTGAGCCACCACACCTGACCCTGACCAACTCTTTAGATGTTGAAAATGGAGCCTGGACCAGGTGTGGTGGCTCACGCCTGTCATCCCAGCACTTTGGGAAGCCCAGGTGGGTGGATGACCTGAGGTCAGGAGTTGGAGACCAGCCTGGCCAACATAGTGAAACCCCGTCTCTACTAAAAATACAAAAATTCGATGCGTGTGGTGGCACAAGCCTGTCATCCCAGCTACTTGGGAGGCTGAGGCAGGAGAATCATTTGAACCTGGAAGGCAGAGGTTGCAGTGAGCCAAGATCGTGCCATTGCACTCCAGCCTGGGCAACAAAGAGCGAAACTCCATCCCCGTGCCCCCCAAAAAAGAAAACAAAGGTATACAAATTAACCCTGCCTGGTGGCAGGTAACTGTGGTCCCAGCTACTCAGGAGGCCAAAGCGGGTGGATTGCTTGAGTTTGGGAGGTCAAAGCTGCACTGAGCTATGACTGCACCACTGCACTCCAGCCTGGGCAACAGCTCCAGACCCTGTCTCAAACAGATAAATAAATAGGCCGGGCGTGGTGGCTCACGCCTGTAATTCCAGCACTTTGGGAGGCCGAGGGGGTCAGATCACGAGGTCGGGAGTTCAAAACCAGCTTGGCCAATATGGTGAAACCCCATTTCTACTAATAATACAAAAATTAGCCAGGTGTGGTGGTTCACACCTGTAATCCCAGCCACTCAGGAGGCTGAGGCAGGAGAAGAGCTTGAACCTGGTGGGGGAGGTTGCTGTGAGCTGAGATCTCGCCATTGCACTCCAGACTGGGTGACAGAGCAAGACTCTGTCTCAAAAAAATAAATTAAATAAGATAAAATAATTTTTAAAAACTGAAAAGTCCAGGTGCAGTGGCTCATGCCTGTTACCCCAGCACTTTGGGAGGCCGAGGAAGGCGAATCACTTTGAGGTCCTGAGTCTGAGACCAGCTGAGCCAACATGGTGAAACCCCGTCTCTACTAAAAATACAAAAACTAGCCGGCTGTGGTGGCAGGCGCTTCTAAATCCATCTACTCGGGAGGCTGAGGCGGGAGAATTGCTTGAACCCGGG